GCTTGAATAGGTAAACCTGCTCATTTTTCATGACCTCTATTGAGCTAACAATGAATTACTCCTGGTGCTTCGGCTACTCATGCTTCAAGACTATTAAAGAGCCTTAGAGATCCAGGTAATTAGCGAAAATGTGCTGTTCTGTCTACAACTATATTATTTATTTATTTGTATCCAATGGCGGGCGTTTCGATAGTTATCATTAGCCCTTTAGCTGACTTCGGGCTTCACAGAGGGAGGAGGAACATCAGATTGACAAAAAGTCGAGGGGGGAGGAACACAAGAGTGATTCAAAGATGTAAAACAGACAGACAGACACAAAGGCAGAGAAAAGGTAAGATGAGTACTGTGAAGGGTTCGAATCTGACATACAGTCGGGTCATGGCAAGTTGAAGTCAGAAGTCAACTGCCGGTCTGGTAGACTTTATTGCCGTATGAGCAGACTTTGCCTAGGTGCACCACGTGGAGATAAGTCTATCGCACACCCCACAACTTCAAAAATAATAGTCAACGAATGCCTTTATGAAACAGATAATAAGTTCGCCATCGTTATTCGAGAATGATTTCAATTGGAATCAAGTTAGTGCAAAAAATGGTAATTAGTAATTGGAAAATCGATTTTTACCAGATGCATACGATTCAATAAACTTAGTTCAGGTAATTTAGTTTTCTTTGAACATACCATCTCAACTATTAAAGAAACACTTATCAGTTTCTGGCCAAAATGGCGCATCCTAAAGACGGTGGCCAATTTCGCCAGACATTGAAAATCCAAAGGAATATCGAGCACTCAATTAACTCAAGGACACACTAAACAACTGAGAAGGTGGTAATGACGTCTAGATCTTCACATCGCTTTCGGACTAGGTAGGAGCTGTTTGTGGTAAGTGGTAGCGACTCTTTGAAATATATTCACTTAATAGCTTTACCTCACTGATTGCATGGATTTGAACTACGATAATTTTCTGTGGCTCACATGGCTAGTAGGGCATCAGCATATCAAGCTGATCTAGAAAACTGCATCTACATTTTCATCTTGAAGTAGGATTCGCCAAATGCAAAAATGGCAATTGCACTCTTCTGGTGGGCAAATTTGCAATCCTAATAAGTTCAGCAACAGCGTGATATTCGTGTTTAGTAAAAGGTAGAAAGGTCAATTCTCGTTGGCTTATATCAAATGCTGTAAATCGACAACCGCATTGATTAAGTCTAATCAACGATAGGCGATGATAGAAATCGAGTTTCTTGTTAGTGCGGTTCCAGAAGGCCCTACATCTACCCCAGTTGAGGGTTGTAAAACTTCTTTCAATTGACCCACCTTCATGAATATTAAATATTACAAAAGAAAATCTAGGAATCAGTCCATCACAGGATCAGTAAGTTATTATATATTATGTAAGTGAATATGCTGTTCTTGGGTCCAATCATACTACCAGTTTCCTCGAAGCAATATTGCAGCTCTGGGGTGTGCGATTGACTTACCTCCACGCGGGGCACCCTGGGCAACGTATACTCATACGGCAAAAAAGTCTATTAACCGGCAGTTGACTTCTGACTTCAAACTACCATGACCACACTGTATGTCATTTTTGATCACTTCCACCGTACCTATCTTGCCTTTTTCTCTGCCTTTGTGTCTGTCTGCTCTTTTACATCTGTGAATCTCACTTCTGTTCCCCACCCCTTGACTTTCTTCTACTTTGATGAACCTTCCCTCTGTGAAGCCCGAAGTCAGCTAAATGGCTACTGATAGCTATCAAAACGCCTGCCATTTGAAATAAATAAATAAATATTACAGCTCCATACTCGAGAAACTTGGAACTACCACTTGATTTTCTCATTTTTGTTTATCCACGACCGAAGTGCGTTCAGTACGGAAATTGCTTAAACCTCCTGAGATCTTATTTCATCTGCGATTTAGAAATCTGATATCGGCAATGGCGTGAAAGATATCGCTTCACACAATCTGCTCAAGTAAATTAGCGTAAATAAATGTTTTCATTTCATGTAACTTCAAATGGCAGGCATTTTCATAGTTACCATTATCCCTTTAGTTGACTTCGGGCTTCACAGAAGGGAGGGACATCAAAGTGGGAAAAATTCGACAGGCGAAAAGAAGAGCGATTCACATATGTAAAAGAGACAGACAGACACAAAGGCAGAGAAAGGGTAAGATGAGTACTGTGGTAGGGTTCGAATATGACACACAGTGGGGTCATGGTAGTTTAAAGTCAGAGGTCAACTGCCAGTTAATGGACTTTTTTGCCGTATGAGTATACGCTGCCCAGGGTACACCACGTGGAAGTAAGTCTATCACCCACCCCCAAGTTGTGAAACTTGAAATCAATACATACGCGGTTAGAATGTTCCTTGAACTCTTCTTCTGATATGAGTCTGGGCGCAATTATCTTAACCACTAACTGTAAAGACAGAAGTGGGGAAGCACCCATTCACGTCTCGCAATAATGTTCGAATTCTCTGACAGGTCCCTAAGTCAGATTTTACAGACAAAGGCACTAAAATATAAAGTCACTCTCCTCGCCTTCAATTTCTGCATTTATTGTCACAAGCATGCCTAAAGAAGAGCTACCGTTTATTGATCCAAAGTCTAACCGATTTATACTTAACTCCTTGATCAAATCTACTTGATCCCGAGTGTTAGTTGGCTCCTCTTCTGTATTCCGGTCCACTTTCATGGGAGAACATGACTGGATGATTAGAGCGAATTGAGTTTTGCGGTTGAACTCATACACATGGGACATACAAATTTATTGCGCAAAACTCATGCATACTACTTACAATGAGAATTTTGCGTCTTGATTTCTCGTTTACTCGGCTCCAATAGGCAGTTGTTAATGCTTCGAAGGTTAGTTTAATCTCATTAAACGTATTAAAATACGCTAGTAATCTAATTAAAATCCAAACGATTACAATGGAACGCACATAACCATTTCCTTCAATGATACGAGTAATACGAATTTTAATATAGTATCAGCTGAACATTTCAAAGTCTTTCAGCACTAGAATGCCAAGAATATAATGATCACTTAGATGGTTCAATAATCATTAAAATGGGGTGTGCGATGGACTTACCTCCAGGGCAACGTATATGCATACGTCAGAAAAGACTATAAACCGTCAGTTGACTTCTGACTTCAAACTACCATCACCCCACTCTATGCCATATTCGACCACTTTCACTGTACTCACCTTGCCTTGCCTTTTCTCTACCTTTGCGTCTATCTGCCCCTATTACATCTGCTAATCACTCTTCTGTTACTCCTCTCTAATTTTCCTAACTTTGATGTTCCTCCCCCTCTGTGAAGCCCGAAGTCAACTAAATGGCTAATGATAACTATCAAAACTCCTGCCATTTGAAATAAATAAATGTTCATTAAAATGGTGAGAGGAGTCACTTTAAATCACCAAATAGTCGTGTCAGTTTTTTATTTTCTTGTTTCAAATCCCATTATCCCGGTGTGCTCCGTACACAATCCTCACACGATAAATGCGCACCCAAACATTCTGGATTGTGCGTCCGTGTTTGCAGAGCACTGCTCAGATAATGAGCCAATAGAATTCATTCAATTTATGCTAGACGTATGTGATGACTAATCAATTTTGCTGGGGTCATTATTTCAATAAACGCTTCACACACAACACGTCCTCCTTCTTTATAGTATTGTGTTGGTTCAAGTCCGGGGGCATTTTCAAATCAGGAGAGTCGGCCATTGAGATTTCTGAGTATGGTCAAGGCTTATAGTGTGTAGCAATTTATGAGAGGTGTTTAAATTTTAAGGTTTTCATCCAATGGCTCTTGGAGATTCATTTCCGCACAACCGAATGCTGATTATCAGCAAAGCGAACTGTCAATTAAACGAAAAGTTTTATGAAGGTAAATCAGCTGCTAGCGGTGCCATATAAATTTGGCTCCAAATTTGAGCATTAAATTTAATTTGTTTTTCTTTTGTATATTTATTTCCTAAGATAAGGCTCACTCTATATATTGTCTACTGAAGTCGGAGCAGGGTTTCAATGATCTCAACAACAGTCCAGTTCAGTTAATCTTTGAAAAGCTAATAATAAATTAATATTGAATAATTTGTTAACAGGTTGCTTTGAAAAATTTGCAATCAATATTGCGATTAGATTGTCATTACTGATAAAGCACGTTACCATCTTCAACATAATTTAATCAGTTCGATATGTTTTGTATCTTGGAAGGAAACTAAAACCCTAAATACAATATATTAAATTGTATATCTATATATTATTAATGATAATTATATATATAATTAATAATATATATGTACATATACAACAATTTATTTTAACAATAGACATTATTGATAATTTATTGAAAACGTCGAGTATATAACGAATATTTGTTTTATTTTGAAAAATACTTTGAAGTAGATAAAATCGCGCCCTGTAGATTACTTTATTTTATAAAATGTCAATTTTTTAGTTCACAGTTCTGCATACTTAAACACGCCCTTAAAATATCGATAAATGCGTAGATCAGCTGATTTTGTTAGTTTGAATTTCAATCACTTCGTTATCTTAGGCAAAGAGATCGGTCTGAGGACAGAGCAACATGACTTCAGAACAGGGATCAACAGCAATTTGGAATGACTTACCGTCCATTAGCGACCGAGTTACTGCCAACGAAAAACCCGAGACAGAATGCCCTCCAAAGGAGGCGGATCTGACGATTTTGAAACCAGCTCAAAAACACGTGCCCACAATAGAAGGCAAACAGGTGATGCAGATAATGGATAATTGCATAACTAAAGTCATTTTGGTTTCTGCATTTCCGAAATTCACTTCTAATTTGGCATATTATGAGCTTTTATTGGGCTGGAAAGCGTGTGAGCAGATCGAGCGATACAAAGCCGCTTCCAGTGAGTATGACACAATAATGAACGGCTGTGAGAATGTGGGAGACCTATACCATTTCAAGCTGAATGAAGTAAGTACAAGTACTTATCAAATCGCTTTGGTTGTCACCTCTAAAAATGCAGTTATACGCAGTTTATACGCAAGTGGATGAAGCGTGTGTCTTTCGACTTTGCGCTACCAACTTCTCCTCAGAAGTGACTAGACGAGCCAAGATTTTTCGTCGCATTTTTAATATCTATGCTATAACACAGAGGATGTAGGTAGGGGTCAAATATTTTTTTGACCTCAATGGTACTTCCACCGATAATATTTATCGGGTGCAATGAAGGAGTGGTTGGCAAAGAGTGAATTGAGAGGCTAAGTGCATTGTCTCTCTCTCTCTGAGCAAAATGGGTTTCCAAAGTGAAGTGCTATTCTAATAAAATTTGATTAAGCAAACCCCTTGACCAGAGTGAAAAAAAATATGAATATTCTGAGTTAAAAATATTTATATAAAAGTTTGTTGAAGATACTCGTTTGAGGAGTACTTCCCATACCCAAAGAGCCCAACTTCTAATCCGAATTTTCACTTGGGAATTGACAATGCCAATGAAATTTTATTGGAAAACAGAGGACTTTCTTTTAAAATTGGAAATAGGTTTAAATGGCAGTAAGAAAGAAGATAAAACGCACTTAATTAGGGTCATTGGTGAATACCTTACTCCACCCTCCCCCCCCCTCATTCAAGCAATTAAAGTGAGCATATTAAAATTCTAAAACATATTACTTCAAATTTTAGTGCTAATAACCAAAATTAGTTGTGAATTTCAACTTTAAGCAGGGAATTTACATTTACTTTAGCACGTAACGTTTGATTCACATAATAAGTTAAACTATTAACCGCTTTTTGTGCATCCTCAACTCCGATTCAGCTCCGTCATTATTGAGCACTACTGGTTGGTCGTGGGTGGATTTTTGGCCGAACTTCTAATATTGGTCTTTGTTGGATGCGAGTTGTGGTGTATACCACGCAAATAAGCCCTTGGCTAAACTTTAATAGTTCGCTCACAAATGTACTATTAGCCTCTAGCAGAATGCGTTGTCATAAATCTGCCATCAAACTTAGCCCACGTCCAAAGTGCCGAAAACGCACCAGGGGGGGGGGGGGCTATCGTGCGAGTAGAGTTTACTGCTAAAACTGATTAGTAATTGATCACAATTATCACAAAGTTGTATGAATATTAATCGCTGATTGATTGGGAGGCGCAAACTTTCTTGACGCAGAGTCGGTAGAACGTTCTATATGTTCAAAGTGTTCTAGGTCACAAGCTATCTTTGTCAGGTTAGTATACTGTATTCGGGACATTAAATAAACAATAATTATTAATACAGTGAAACAGGTAATCTCAATAATAAGTAAATAAATCAGATATTGGCAAATCGTCTTTGCTAAGTAGACCAATAGTGTTTTAAACACTGCGGTTTATCGGCCAATTCAAAGGATCATTCCAAATGCCATCTATTTCTATTTTATGAATTACTAATGAAAATGTGTCCAGAAATGTTTTCACTTTCCGTGAAATCGGAAGAATATACTAGCTTTGCAATTATTTGACTGTTTTTTTGACCTTAAAATGTCACATTTACAACTTGCTTTGAAAGCCGAGGACATTGAAAGACGAGTTCAGAAAGAAAAGCCTAACCTAGAAATTAAAGTCAATGGTCAGTCAACTGACCAGAACCAATAAACCATTTGGGAGGGGAGGGGAGAGCTAGGG